TTGAGCATCTCCATTTTCCTTTGCTGTTTTCAATTTATATTAAATGTATCATTTTTATATGATATATATGTAATTACGTGACATTCGGCTAAACATTTAAGTAACATGCATTACTACCGCGTACACATTTGATAACAAAAGAATGCCTATGTTTATTCATTATTTATTCTATCATTCAATAAGACGATGTCCTTCACGTGTTCCCAGGGTTCATGTGACCGACGCAATCGTCACGGTGCGATACGAAAATGCCGCATGTGTCATTCATGTTGCCAGTCAAAAATACATACATATTAATTCTGTAGCTTTCATTCAATTTTCCTGTCAATGTACTGTGTGTGCTTATGGGTGGGCCATCGGAAACTCTGGCCGGGGACTACCAATATGTAGAACGGTTCCGTGTTAGAAAATGTTGTACAAAAAGACACGGAATATTGCACGACTCCTAACTTAAATATTCGGACACAAACTTGAAACACTCCACCAAAGTCACATTCATTTGCAGAGGGGGCATGAACATAGACCACAGGGTATTGGTTTTGGTCGAAACGTGCAGTGACAAGTAAAAATCATGAGTTTAAAATAGCGGCTAATGTATGCAAAATGCCTGTCAATCACAGTTTGAGTAAACGAAAATGTAATTCCCCTAGATGTTTATTCAATCTACAAAGCTTGTTGGTTTACAAACAGCATTATCGTTACGCAGTTCGTCCTCAGACTAGTAATAGTAATTGTATTATTGTATCACTAGTACTGGTTTGTTTAACCATCGGTAGCATTGGGGCATGACGTTGTAAGACAGTGATGTTTGAAACCAGTCAGTGGGTTTGGGCCAAACTCGTAACCCAACTATATGCTACCTAAAATAACAATGCATTTGAATAAGTTATACATACATTTATAATATGCAATGATAAAAAAAAAACACGACCGAGAGCCCGAAAGAAAATACGATCTGTTTGATTTTTTTTAAAATTCAATTTCATTTATTTATTTTTAAACTTGCCAGGAAACAAAACGCCTCACGTTTTCTAAGCCAGCATCAAATTCATAGACATCAGTACTGGGTAGTAGTACACTCAAGTGGCCTGTAAAGAAAGTTAGCAACTTAGGTGTACAATCGATAAAAGCGTTCTCTCAAAACAAGTTTGCAAATGACTCAACAAGATGTGCCCATTTGTTTTCACTAGCATAACAAGTAGTCGTGTTTAATGGCGTCGCATATTGAAACAACGTCGATTTTGTAATAATTACAACGCTGTAGATGGGACGTTGAAATCGCTGCCGTTTATATTGTGTATAACAATAGCGTGGTAATAAGACATACGGGGCGGGGCAGCCAGTTGGTAGTAAACTGTGGTTACGTAACTGTTCGTGCTAGTTGACGATTTTACTGGGGTTTGGGTGAGAATAACCTGGTTATTCTACATGTAAAGTTGATCCATCTCAATTTTTCTTTGCTGTTGTCCATTTGTATTAAATGTATCATTTTTATTTCATATACATTGTATATGTACTTATGTGACATTAGGCTACACATTTAAAGGAAAACCTTCCAAACCCAGGGCTTGCACCAAAGAAACTTGGGACATTATTGTTTATGTTAATCTATCTTTTGTTATCCATTGTAATTTTAATCCAGAAAGTAAATTTGTTGTGAGATTTAGCTTAAATGGAGATGCTCTTTAAGTGACGTGCATTACTACCGCGTACGCATTTGATAACAAAGAATGCCTATATTATTTTATTCAATTATCATTTTTTCACTCAACGTTGTTGAATGTAATATAAGTACAAGTGTCAATAAATTATACACTAAACAATGGCCCAACTAACAAATAAAACAATTGATTTCAAATTGTTTGATTCAACCATGGACGTCCATGATACAACAAAATAGAAGAGCGCGTAACACAATAAACGACATAACTGAAAACGTGCCACAGTTCAATAATTTCTGCTACTGCAGCCAAAAAAAGTAATTAATTAAAAGTAATTTGTTCTGTTGGGGAATGTTATATATTCGACCACGGTAATGTATGCGTAACGTATCCAGCAAAATATATTCACCACTGAATACCGTTTTTTTTCTTTCTTTTAAATGTTGCGTACCGTGGTTAGACTCGACTACGGTGCAGAAAGTGTTAACTCCAGTATCAATATTAATGATTTAAATTCATGTCGTGCTGACAGTGAAAATTTAAAAGAATATATGTATATATCCGATAAATAAATATTGGCGATTTAGTATTAAAGTGTTACATCAAGGCGGCAACAATTGTGGCCTGTATCGTTTTTAATAACCATTTCCTACAGCATTATATCCATGTTAGTTTTTTCCCCCATATTCTTGTGGCTGTGGTTGACTTTGAATCATGTCTCGAACTTATCCATGGAGACTATTCGTGACGATAAGAAACAACGAACAGCAACGAATTTACACACGTTTTAGGCTAAGTTCATTCA